AGAGTCCGAGTCGGAGTTTGGAGTCAGGACCGGGCTCAGAGTGAGAGTTGGAGTCAGAATCAGCGTCGAAATTGACTGTCTTGGAAGTTCGGGAAGTTATGAATACGACTCGTATGTCGAGTGTGCACACTTGTACGAATGTTATCCAACAGTCAGCGTAGATTGGTGATTCATCAGCTTTTTAAATATATCTAATTAAAGCCTCTAAAGCAGTGCTACAGATGCGTGAACAAGTATTGTCACTCGCAAATGTGCTTAGAAAAAAGCTTTTTGACCTATTCATCGTTCTCACCAGAGCTGACAGAACCTGACTCAGTGGCTCTACTCGAGGTCAATAATTATTTTCGAGCAGATAGTTACACTGCCATACGTCTCGCTATATTCCGACCTTATCTAATGGGTTGAACGGTCTGCTCACCTGGTAACAACCCCACGGCCCGCGGCATAACCTCCTGAGCTCTCCCGTCCTGTACCCCGTTCTGTGCTCCTCCAACCAATACCAGCCTCTCCCTCCTCTGCATCTCGCTGCGGCCCGGCATCCCGCTGTGGTCCGTCTGACCGCTCCGTGACCGTTCCTGACGGCATGACCTGGCTACAGCGGCGTGCCGACGGTGAGACTCGCGACCCGGCCCGGCCCGGCCCGCTCCAGGCCGGCGCGGTCGGGCCGGGCGGGCGGCTCCAGTAGGCCGCCGCCGTCGCCGCCGCGAGCCACGGTAACGGTGCCTCTCTCCGTGGCGCGTCCGTCCGACTCGGCAGCGGCGGCGGCTGGTGAGCGGCTGGAGCTCGGTGTGCCGTTTGTGTGTTTGTGGTGCGGTGTTTGTGTTTGTTTTGAGGGGGGAGGAGTGATGAAGGGCTGAAGTAGTGCGCTGGAGACTCGGGAGAGGCTGCTGACTGCTGAAGTGTTCTGGTGCCGGCGAAAGTCCGGAAAGTATCGGAGCCCTATCATCGCTTCTCTGTTCTACTTTGGCAAAACTACGAAAAGTTCAGAAGCCTGAAGTCAACAGAAGCGCCTGTGATTTCGCCCATCAGCCTACAAAACTGTAGGCCAAGAAACTGACCTCCGCGTATTCATCTAACCCAACCGCGGACACCCGTCAGAACTCGAACCATGGATGTTGAGGACGAGCCGGGAGTGATGATCACGACAGGTAAATAAACATCACCGCCCTCATATATCTCTCAGCAGGCGAGGCCGGACCGCGCGCGCTAGTAGGGCCATCATTTTCCTGGGTCCGGCCGGTGTTTTGTCGAAGTTTTTGCTGCTTGTAGAAAGGTACGGAGAGATGCTCGTTGAGATTTGGACTACGGACGCTGTTAGGCGTTCCCATCGACCCTGCGTTCCATCTTAGTTACTGAGATGTTGATGAAATGTCTAGCCTCTTCAGTGTTCAACTATGCGTCGCATCAGTATTTTACACAATCGATAGCACTGTGCTAGAACAGGAGATGCATCGATGACCGTTTCTCGCAGTGGGTATATGACATCCTTATTTATGGGCTACCGATTAAAAGTGACTTCATCAGCCCTGGCATCTCAAGATGCCAGATACCGGCCAACTCTCAAAGATAATCGATATTTGTCCGAGAGGTCATGGCGACATATCCAAACATTACACTCTCAGCTCTGAGCTACCGTTATCTTGACTTCTGGCGGGTATCTTTCTTTTTCAGTTCCTTGGCTCAGCTTTTCCGACCTATCTCTTGCGTTGATCTGTGAAACATCAACATTACCTCATGATATTTTCGAAATTCTCCATGGCCTTTCGCTCATGCTCACCGTCCCGTCGTCTTCGTCACGGGCGTAACGCGGCGCGCCGTGACGCCGTCACGGCTGGCGCGCTCGGCCGTCACGCCGCCGGACCGTGACGGCGTGACGACACTGACGCGCCAGACGTGGTGGTGGTGTCGGCGGCGTGGCCATGTCAGACATGGCCGGGCCGTCCCCGCTGTGCTACCGGCCGGGTCATTGGTCACCGGTCACCGGTCATTGGTCACTGGCCATCAGTCACTGATCGCTGGTCACCAGTCACTCGTCACGGCCCACTGGGCACCATCGGTCATCGAACCCCGCTCCCCGTATAGCCGTCCATTTACTAAATGGTTGGTTCTTCGAAGGATGGTCGGCTGTGGGTCCGTGTCCGATGATGTACACTCTACTGAATCTTGCCTGGGTCATGTTGCTAAGATTTGGTTTGGTTGTTTGGAAGTGTGAATTTTAACCGTTTTAACTAAATATTTACACTGCATGAATCTTAGCATGTCGCTACAACCGTCCTTACATTTGATCTACATCACAGAACAGCTTTGTGCCTGGAAGTTAAGCGTTTACTTGTGCGGTTTTTAAATCTCAAACCTGAGCCAGTCGGCTATGACCTGGGTGGAGCCGTGTGTGATCGGTACGTTCTCATCATCGTAATCGGTGACTACGGTTATAATCTCTCGGGTGACCGCATTGGTGATCTGTAGTGACCGCATTGTTGGCCGCCCTGGCGACCGCATTGTGAACCACACTAGCTACCGCATTGGTGACCGCCCTGGTGACCGGTGTGGTGGCCGGTGTGGTGGCTGGTGCACCGGCTGGTGCACCGGGCCGCACCTGTTGGATAGTGCCGGGTCAGACGGTCACAACTCATACGGCCGGCCGGCCGGAGGTCGCCGATCGGTGCGCAGTACCGGTCGGCGAAGGGCCGGTCCCGACGGGACCCCCCGCGGCGCGGAGCGGGTGGAGTATGTCACTGTGGAGACCTCACAGGGGGCTGTCACCACCCCCGCCCCCTCCCCGCCCGAGACGGCGGCCCGCTCCGGACAGACTCGGGAGAGAGGGCGCGTCTGTCAGGAACAGTTGGAAGTGCGTCTAGCTCATACATTATTCAGCGTGTGGGACTCAGAAATACAAGTTGGAATAAACAAACGCGACTTGTCAACAGTCTGCCCGACATCGTGAGGCCGCGTACCGTGTCTCTACATTACAAAGTCCCTAACTCAAGGACATCATCTACCATTGCCGTGCTTTTACTAACAACGTAAACGACGAACACAAAAGGGCATTGTGTTCGTCTTTGCAAGTACATTTGACTGTTTTCCTGAGAAAGAAAACACCACTCATTTTACTGCAACTCCTCATTAATTATGTATTCTCACGGCTTTTCAAGTACGGCCGGGGTCGCGCTGAGGTGTACAATTGTTCACAGAGTGTGTGTCCGGTGGGGTGCCTATTTGACATGCAGGCCCTCTCCTCATTAGGACGAGAAGGGTGCCGTAGTGAGCCTTCTTCCGTGATGGCCGAGACAGGCGGCTGCCTCTCTCGATTTATCACCATTATTAACCGTGACTGCGGGGGATACGACAGCCGCACAGAGCTAAAACGCAGCTCAGCTGCATTGATGTTACTTTTGAATGGGCCTTACGAAGCCGTCTGAAATATGTGCAAGAAAAATACTTTTTGAGCGATATATATATATATATATATATATATATATATATATATATATATATATATATATATATATATATATATATGTGTGTGTGTGTGTGTGTGTGTGTGTGTGTGTGTGTGTGTGTGTGTGTGAAGTTGATGGGCAAGGTAGCCCATAAATTTCACATGCATCGACAAATAAATTAAAAAAGTGGTAACAGGTTTAGAACCTATTCAACGAGTGAGTGCTGTTAAAAAGTTTGAGTCCGTTATACGCCAAAGACCGAACACTCTATGAACCACGGTCCACTTGGAATGTCACGTATCGTTTCGATAGTCGACGGCGGCTTATTTATTAATTTTCATGTGAATTGGTGCCTTATACCGGCTAGCACCATGAAGTTATTGTGGATGGCTACTGGCATATCAGCCGTATGTGCTTGTTATACGGCTACTTTAATCGAATAACTCGCGGGTTCAACAACCAAAGCATCGTAAAACAATGTAGCATTACGTTACTGCAATCATCGACGCTATAGTTGAGAAATATTGGTGTCATCATCTCCAATTATTTTGTCGTTAAACAAATTGGCAACCGTGTAGGACATGTCTACAGGGCTATAAGCATCCTATTTCCGTCGACGTGCTGTGCGTGCCCACTGCCCATGAACGATGAATACGCATGACGTCGAACCTTCGTGATTGTTTTTATTAAAATTTACCGAGTTTCATATTTACTTCTGGCAGTCATTGCTCAGACTTTGGTAAGAAGTCGTGATGCATATGAATGAAGGCGAGGTGGCTTGAAACCTATTGATGTCAGTACTTCTTCAATTGAAAGCAACTCAAATGCCTATGCCTATTGATTAAAATTTGACTTTTCCCATCCTTGCGGGCCTTGGCCCAACATTGAGTGCGGCGACACGATGATGTCAATACAACAGCACTATCAATGCTTTCTGTCACCGTTCCAATAACTGGCTTGACACCCACCTTCCCTCATATCGTTCTGAAATCGCTCATGACGCACTCGACACACCTGACTCATTTAACACCTCCACATCCATTCTCCCTCCCACCATTCTATGACTCTGTGCTCGGCACCTCTGAATCAAGCCCCTGTAACCTCCGATACCATATCTCCTCCCTCCCTCCCTCCCCTCTCTCTCCATAGTCAGTGCCTATCAGACCCGATATACCGCCCGTGTGTCTCATCTGGGCCCGATACCGATATCAGAGGGCCGACTCGGTGGGTGGCGGCCGCGGCAGTGACGAGCCCGGCTCTGTACGGACTGTAGCCGGCCACGGTGGACGTGTTGTGAGGTGGGGACGGTCTCTGAGAGGCAGTCTCGTCAGTGTGAGTCGCTTTGAAGAGTGTTCAAAAGGGGGGGGGGCGGGTTTGTGAGTTTAGCCTGAATGAAAGTCTGAGCGTGAAGATACATAGCACAGTGTGTTGTGTGCTCTTTGCTTGTTGCTTGTCTTCCTTGCCTTCACGTTCGCTTGTGTGTCGTCTGATTTCAGGATCCTTAATTCTTATCACTGACATAGTTGTCGGATTGTCTGACACTCTCCCTTTTCTCCTCAGGTGTGGAGGCTCTCTCCATCATCGCCAACAAGCAGAAGACCAAGACGTTCCTGGAGACGCGTATTCAGGCGGAGCTCCTCTCGGCGGCGGACAGCAGCTCCTGTACCAGCGGCGGCGGAGGCACCTGCGACACCAGCTCGTCGCCCAGCTCGCGGCACAGCTCGCGGCGCAGCTCGGCGCACAGCTCGCCCGTCTGCTCTTCGCGCGCGGCCGCCCACGGCTCCCGCATGTCGGCTCCGGCCGCTCCGGGCGCCGGCTCCGACCCGGCGCCGGCCGGCTGGAGGCGCCGCTCCGTGGAGGGCGTCTCGCCCGAGACCCGGATCGCTCGGGAGATCCGCGAGCAGCGCAGCCGCGAGGAGGAGCTGCGCCGCGCGCGCGCCGCCGCCGGCCCGCTGAGCCCGGCGCCGGCCGACGAGCCGCTCTCCGGGTACGGCAGCGAGGAGAAGGATAGTCTCACCGAGGAGGGCGACAGGTGAGACGATCCGACCCCAGATCCGACCCCAACACCTTACAATTGCCACTGCTGATACTAAAGATAAGTTACCGAACAACACTGTAACTGCGCTGTACAGTTGCCACAGAAACTGCGTTACCGCGCGAAACGTTTCCCCGACATCCGCCTTAAATCATTATTTTCGTCATTGGTTTCTCGTATCCCTGCATGTGTCCATGTGTCTTCCTCTGAAGGAGTACAACATTGAAGTAGCACAACAGGCACATGCCGAGCTGTTGAACCACTGTCCCAGTTTCTCCTAGGCAAGGTCCTGGCCTCGGTCTCAGATGCCGCAGCTCTGTCAGAATTTGTCGGCGCAACCCTAGCGATATGACATTCGACTCTTCTGACGCACCGCCGTGCGAGCTGTGTACACAGTGATGTCAGATCATCACAACGGTGATGTCAGAACCGACTCGAACTCCCGACCTTGTGAAGCCGCGGTCGACAGCTCCTGCCACTGAGCCGAGAGGGTGCCGCGTGCTCTTGGGCCACCTCGTAGAACGGGCCACGTCGCCACCAAAACATGGGAACCGGCCGGCGGTTTAACTGTCTGAGACGAGCGAGAACGTCTAATGAGTAGCAGCAGATGGTCTGGTCTGTCCAGTCGCTGTACGCGTATCGGTGGGAAACTGGCATGTGCTGGAGCCGTCTCGGCCGGGTACTCCGTCAGGTTTCTATAGAAGCGATCATGCAGACGTGAGGCAGATATAATGACTCTACGATATGGCTACGGGAATGACTCTATAATGACTCTATATAATGGCTACGAGCTTATCAAGCATCTGTTGTCGGTTTTCCGTTTGATTTTTTGAGCCAGGTTCATAAAGTATAGGTGAACTCATTATAAGCAGAAACCCTGTATCTGTTTGACATGCAGACCACATTGATTACACTATCGATTTGGCGACAGAAGGGGTGGGCGCAGTCATGCTACGTTTGGCTGTGTCTCGGTCAAAGGTTTATAGTGTCTGTAGGGGCTCTTCACGACCAAGGACAGTCATGCAGTACTTTAACCCGTATCTGCCTTTTAAACATTCGCTCTATCAGATATGAGCCTTTGAAGTGCCATCAACTGATAAACTGAATCCTTCCATTGCTAACGTATACAGTTGAGCTGGGCCTTTTCTGTGACCCCTGGCCCTGTCGACTCCGATAGTCGGACTAAGTGAATTTGTACGTTCAGGTATTGTATCCTAGCGTATATTCGTCGTATATCTCCCCCTAGCTGACTGTCCTCAGTACACTGCACCGTGTAAATAAACACGATGCATGCTTTGGAAGCCGGTCAAAGTTTGCACTCCGAGTGGCGGCCGCCGCTCGGTCCGGCGTTGGCCAAACAAGTCGAATGCAGTCGGCTGCCCCGTTCATTTGTCACCGCCCCTCCCCTAGCTCCCCCATCCGGCCCCTCTGCTTGCTTTGGTAGGCTCGTTGCAGGGTTTCAAGTACAGGCCCCCCCCCCCGCGGTGTCGTCAGTCGTGCGGAGTGCACCCCGAGGCCCGATCTGGTCTATATATAGGGCTAGTCGCCTCACCGGGGCGCGGAGATCTCCCCGGGGTGCCACTTGGAGCTGACCTCTGAACTGGGCCGTGACCTGACCTGTGACCTGAGTTCTGACCTGACCTGTGACCCGTCCTCTACCTGTCCTCTCAACTGACCTCGGAACTGACCCCTGGAGTAAACTACCTGACCTTTGACCTGACCTGTGACTGTCCTCAACCAGACCTCTCAAGTGGCCGCTGACCTACCATCAGACCTGATATGTGACGTGACCTTTTCTTTGATCAATGACGCTACCCTTTGACCTTTTACCTGATAAATCCTCTCATCCTTGACTTGCCGCTGCTTAAATCATTCCCTGTCGCTGACCCTAACTGTGTCTGTCATCATCCCGCTCTGACCTTCGGTCTATGCTGATCACCTCCGACTGGACCGCTGTACCTGATTTGTCTCGGACCCGCTGTGTCAGTCTCTAACCCGCCCTGTCCGCCGCCAGTCCGTCTCGCGGCCGCCCCCTGAGCCGCTCTCAGGAGAGCCTCAGCTCCGGTCACAGCTCGGGCCTGGGCTCGGAGCACGCCGCCGAGCTGGCCGCCCGCCGCCGGGTCACCGTCCGGCCCTTCGAGGAGCACGGCGATGAGGAGCACTGGTCGTTCGCCAGGTGAGACGCGGGGCTGGGGGGGGAGGGGGGGGCTGTGGTCCTTCGTTAGGCGAGGGTCGGTCCTTGGGGGGGGGGGGGGGGGGGGGTGCTCCTTTGTTAGGCGAGGCATTGTTTCCGGTAGAATGGTGAGGGGTGGGGTGGGGAGGGGCGAGGTGTACTGATAAGGGAACAGCTGGCGGTTTTTCGTCACACAGGTGGGAGTGGATCAAGCGAGAGATCAGGGAAAAGATATGACGCATTCCTGCCGTGTCCGATTTTCGATTTGCTGCCTTTACTTTTGGCAGTCGTGCTCTACGGGCTAACGCCTTGAAGAAAGCAATCGGGTGTCGTTCCATCATGCACAAAAATTGAGATGCTTAATTATAGGGTTTTAAGTGTTAAATAGGGCTATCCATCGCGGCACCAAGCTGCTCGCCACTCTCCCATGCAATTTCACCACCTTTCTCACGATTATTTCACGGCGCGCAATTAAGCGCACTTAGCGAGACGTGTGTCTGGTCGGTTCGCTATCTCGGAGCCATTGCCGTCGCACTCATACCGGGGGTTCATGGCCGGTCACCAGTCGCTGCATTGTTAACGCAGTGGGTTGTTGTAAAGTTAGATGACTTGGCAGTCCCGAGCTTTTCTGGTGAACTTGCTTGTTCTTTGTAAGCGTTACGTTACATGCGATCACTGGGAGGATAATGATACGTTCAAACTTTCCTTCGTTGCTGTCTGTTTGCATCTTTTATCAAATATATTATTTATATCATTCAGTTTATGTGCCCTATGCGTTAGTCTGGTCTTTTGAATGAGCCACGTAGTCGGTAGAAGGTCCGGCAGAAGACCGCTGGAGTCACTGCATTGCACGAACATCCACCCCGCCTGCCCTTCCACCTCTCTGTTTATCATCCACACCACCCGCCCCTGAATGGATGGACCCGGTGCCGGCTACACGGCGCCAGGCGACTCAATGGATTGTGTTCACTGACCGGTTGGCGTGTCATCCGCTGCATAGTCGCGGCCTGGCCAGTGGTCGACAGGCACATCCTTTCAGTGCACTGTGCTTATTTCCTGGCGTTGAATACCGAACAGGGTTAGGGGAAAGCTACAGTGTGCATGTCATTCGTGACAGTAATGTGGGAGAATTTCTGACTCGTTTCTGTCACGTTTGGGGTTTTCCCTTCCGTCACCTGACCTGACCTGACGTCGTGTTTCTGACCCAGCAGGTCGACGGAAACACCGATCGAGCGTGAAATCCGTCTGGCCAAGGAGAGGGAGGAAGAGACCAGGAGAGAGCAGGCTCTGCGAGCGGCCAAACCGACCAAAGAGACCAGCTCTCGGCCTCATGAGGTGAGACGACAGGGATAATTACGTGATGTTTGATACCCCAACGGCTGATCACGGATTCAGAGGCCTTCACTAAACGCAGCTTCAGAGGCTGCCTTGGTGGGGAGATAATGCATCTGATGCGCATTCAAGCGGGTAACGTGGCACATTAATTGTGAACAGTGAGTTGCACAGTTCGTGATTGTGCAAGGCGTCGTGGCCACAGTTCGGCACCGGCATGCGAACAGGACTCGGAAACGTGTCGAATCATTGGCGCCGCTCGTTTTTGCCGCACGTTATCAGTCTTATCAGATAGTGACGCGACACAGAATGACCTCAAGGAGCTAGTGAAGCTACCAAGAAGCTACTGCCCTCCTGCTATTATCAGAAACGAAGTCAACACCAAGTAGCTCTAAATCTCCTTACATGACGTACTAAAATCCGGTGCTAGATATGATTTATTAGACGGAACTCACAAACACCAAACGGCCATTGCCGTCATCACCATTTGGCGGCTCGTATCAACATAGACGGTCCATCTGCACCGGTATCGGTTTCAGAGGTCGGACAGTCGACACAGTCTGTATCCGTGTCTGATAAACAGCGTATGACACACAGCACACCCCTGGAGCGTCCCATCCCTGTCCGCCGTCCCTGGCTCTGACCTTCGGCTCGATCCTCGCGGCGGGTCGTCATTGTCACACTGTGTGTTCCGTTCCGGCGCAGCCGTCTTGTACCGCCTCAGCGGAATCGCAGCACTCCGCCCCAGTAATGTGACGGAATTGTCAGCGCGGTGTCTTTTATATCAACATCTGAGGCACAGGCTTTGTTTGTCGTCCTTCTTTCAAGTTTCACCTCCCTCCCTTCTATTGAGTCCGTCCTTACATACGCCCATTCCAGCCTCGCCCACATCGCCGTGTCGCAGTATTACCGGTCGTTTATCCCCTCCACCCTCGGCACCCGTCTGACTTTCCGTCTTATCTACCACCCACAGTCGGGCCAGCCTCCTTCGGTGAGCACTCCGGGCACGGGCCGCCGTCCGGCGCCCTCGCCTTCCGACGACCACCGGCAGGCGGCGCTGCGACTGGCCACCGGCCGCGTCCAGCACGAGATTGAGGAGGCCACCCGGCGCGAGCTCGAGCTCCGCGGAGAGGGACACCTCATCACCACCAGCGAGGAGACCGTCGATGAAAAGGTGCGCGGTTTGGTGCGCCAGCGCGAGGACCGCCTGTTTCGCGAGGTTTAACGGGTTATGTAATGGTGCAGCTCTTAGTTGTCAACAGTGCAACATTGGTTCGAGCTTTGCCGACGTGTTATGGGTTTCGTCTCAGTTTGAAATAGTTTGAAGTGATTCTGGTTAGTGACCAAAGCAGTGGGTCATCTAAGTTGATGGCCTACAGAGTACAGAGCTCATGTATCTCTGTCACCGTTTTATCTAAATGCCGATTGAAGATGCTTGGGAATGCCGGATTCTTATCAAACGGATTCAGACGGGCTGATTGACCGATGCATTTCATATGTGGTTTGTTTTCGATAGAGCTAGTCTTTGATCTGCCTTTCTCTCCGTCCCCAGGTCACCCGTCTCGGCGACATGACCGAGCTGTCAAGACAGGTGCGCCAGCAGTGGAACGACCCCGACCCGCGGCCGACTCCGCCCGCCGCCCGGCCCGCGCTCCGGCCCGGCAAACGCCCCGCCAACCCGCGACCGGTCACCGCGCCTGTGGCTACCCCGATCACCGCCCCAGCCCCCGCCGCCGCCCCCGCCCTGAGCACCTTCCGCCCGGCCTCCACCGGCCCCGCCGCCGCCCCCGCCCTGAGCACCTTCCGCCCCGCCTCCACCGGCTCCGGGCGCGGTCTGATGGCCAAGTTCATCTCCTCTCGCGGTCGCCTGCGGTCGGCCGGCGCGTTCGCCGCACCCGCGCCGCAGTCGCCGCAGTCGCCGGTGGCCCGCGCCGCGCCCGACAGTCCTGTGGAGCCGCGCCGCGCCGGTGCCGTGGCGGCCGGTGGCGCCGTGCGCCGTGGCCCGCGGTCGGGGCAGGCGCCTGTGCAGCGCCGCCTCCAGACCAGCTGGTCACTGGACAACCCGGCCGTCTCGTCCGGGGCGCACGGAGTGAGTACTGCCGGTTCAGGGAGAACAGGCTTCTGAGATAGAGAAGAAGGGGAGTCAGGGGAGTCAGGAGGAGGGTTGTGGTGTCACTTCTGGGAGATCGCTAGTGCTGCCAGTGGTTTGTATCTGGCGAGAGTCAGGGATATTGAGACCTGTATCGTTTTTTCTGATTGTTTATTTTTGTGACTAGTATCAGACACAAATGTTTACAGATATGCTGTAATGATCTCAAGGCAGACTGCTTCTGTGAAGGACTTTGACCCATGTCTGACGCTTTCTTATGACACCGTGGCATGATTCACATACTCTTATCTTCTGATACCACACCCAGTCCTCACATCACCGCCGTGACCGATTCCGGTGACGTGAGACATTTACCAGCGCCATGAAGCCCCTACTGACGTGCCATCATCTTCTCTCAGGCGGAGCGGCGGGCTTCCAGTGGCGTGGTCGGCCGGCGCCTGCTGACCGCCGAGGAGAAGATCCAGCTCGAGCTGAAGGTCATGAAGGAACGCGAGGAGGAGCTGCGGTACGTGTGACTTACGTTGGCGGACGTTTAGCTTGGTTTGGTTATTCGTTTACCCATATCCACTTTAGGGTGTTATGTATTGGGTATCGAGTATAGTGATTTGACGGAAACGTTCAGCATTAAGCATAAGCGGTTGTCAATTTCACGGGCCTATTATGCTACTGGTTCATAGTTGTGTGGTGACTTTACATAATCGACATTTGAGCGCTCTTCGCGTCGCTTTAAGCTATTGTTGAATCCTAATCTCGCCCGCGCACCTACACCCTACGATCGCTCCTCGGTGCGCTATGAGCCGGCCGCCGTGTGACCCTCCCGCCGCGCCCATACAGCCGGGAGCGGAGCTGGGCGCTGGCCCGGTCCCAGCCGGACCTGCTGGCCGCCCTGGGCGACTCGGAGGCAGAGGAGGAGGACGCGCCACCGCCGGCGCCGCTCTCCAGAACAATGTCCAACCCCAACCTGCTGGACGACGAGCAGGTTAGTGGGTGGGAGGGTAGAGAGACCGGCGGGGGGGGGGGGGGGGAGCGGGTAGATATTTTAGGATTAGTCGCATAAAGATTTGACTCGAAGGTGAGTTAGGGTAGTGTTTGATGAAGCGTCACGGCCTATTTTGTGATCTATTTTGTGTGTGTCAAAAATGCTCAGTTACGGAAGTGGTGTATGCAGAGTACGAGAGACGCGTAAGTTTGTATGTATGTATGTATGTATTTACCGGATAAGGTCACTCCACTGGTGCAGGGCTATTCTGCGACCTTCGTCATATACAATGCAATATGAGCACACAATGAACACTTCATAAAAGACACCTAATAAAACCGATCAATACAGTGGACCCAATATGACACAAAATACACGACTTGTGTTCAATGGCTGGTTAGGTCATCACGGATAGATGCCTTGATGCTGCGCAGTGACATGTGATCTCTGTCCCTGGCGATCACCATTCGGTTGTACAGGTCGGCAGCCCGGTATACAAATCGGCGTTTCCCGTGATTGTTGCTAGACTTGGGCAGTGTGATATGGCGAGATTGCCTCGTTTGACGGCACACATGCTCATGGTTATGTACAAACCAGGAGCGCAGTACATCGGGTTTGTCAGACAACAATATGCTGTGTAGCAGCGAGACATCAGAATGCATCACCATATCAGCTGCACGCAGCCAGCCGAGCCCACTGATAATGTCCGACACATGATCACACCGACGTCTTCCGGACACTACCCGGGCGGCGAAGTTCAATATCTTTTGAACTCTAGCTAAGCCAGTGCGATTCGCTAAGTTCTAAGCAGGTGTTACTCATGCCTCCCAAAAGCCTCATCACCCGGCGCTGAATGTTCTCACTGGCCCACTGACAGCTCACACCAACCCTGACTGTTCCCTCGGTCTCACTGAGAGCTCTCACTGACTGTTCCCCAGCTGCCGGGCGGTAGTATGTCCACGGGGAGGCGGCGCAGCGGGCTGATCGACCAGTGGGAGAGCAGGATACAGGGAACCAAGACGTGAGGCACCGGCCGACGACGGATGCACCGCGCAGGTACGGCAGGAGACTGCTGGATTAATGACAGAATATCTCGCCCCGCTGAGGATAGTAATCGTCTATTTCATGAGTCATAACAACTGATGTTATATTGCACTCGGCTTTACATTTTGTGAATGTAGTGGATTGCGTGTGTTGTTGACAAACATGGCATCCTTTTAAGCTTTTAAACGGAGAAGAGTTAGCTTTGGTAGTCAGAGGATCGTCGGTCCGTCAAAGATTCTGAGATGTGTTTTTGTGACCGGCAGGCACGCGAGACAGGGGACTGGAACTGCGACGAACAGCGGGGCCTGGTGCTGACTGCCACTGGTGCTGAATGGTGGTGCTGACTAACTAGTGCTGGTGCCGGAGATTCAGCGTCCGCCCTGAACTGAAAACATTACCGATGACAGGGCAGGGCCCGATAGTAACCAATGCCAGACTGCATTGGTCGCAACCTGACGGACTCCGCGTCAGCGAACCGAAAGGCCATCCATAGATTACCGGCGCCTCCGCATAATCCCGGTGGAAATACCAAGTGATGTATTCTATAAAACACTGCTTATTTCTCATCGGTGATGAAGCTTTTGTTGATTCTGTTTCCGCGGCCGGCGGCTGGAGCGTCCGCTGGCTTTCGGCCGGGCGGGCTGACTGACCTGTCGCGGCCTGTCGCTGGGGTAATGCAGAACATGTGATAGTCGCCAGTGAGGAGGAACGTTGCCGGGGGGCGGGTGGGTCGAATGAGCTCAATGCGGCCGGCAGGCCCGGGCTCGGGCTGACTCGGAGTATATCTGTGTAGCTTTAGACGCCGCGCTGGCCCTGTGCTACTCTAACAGAGCTGGGAGGGTGCGGCACACTGCCGCGGCTCGAGCGCGAGTTACGAGTGAGTGAGTGACAGCGAGTGAGGAGTGTCTGTACTGGTCCCGTCCGTTGAATATATTCAATACGATATACCCCTTAAGAACTGTGTTTGAAACGTGTGACCGTCGCAAGTTGGATGCGAACCCGGGACCTTCGGGATGACGATAAAAAATTCGGCAGATATCACCGCTAGGCCAACTGTCAATGAATTTGGGCGCCTTCCCAACCGCATTACACTGCCCACATCTGGATACTGGCATTCGCCGGCACTTTCCACCCTCCTACTCCTACCCAGCCCTAGACTACCCCTTCTTCAACACCACACACCACCCGCTTAACAACACCACCCACCACTGAACGGACAGCCCCAGTGGACACAGGCAGCACCAGCTCAGCCGTATATTCAGTGCTCGGGGCGTGTCACAGAGTATACAGTGGGCGCCGCCTGCCCGCCGCAGGCACACAACAGCCGCCGACAGCGCATAAATGAACCCGCCACCATGCACCCGCCGGCCGGGCCGCGCAGTCGCAATCGATCAAAATCACTAATTAAATTAAAACAAGAACAACACGGGCGCTGACCCCTCGGCGGGTAAACGGCGCTAGCCGGGCGCGCGCGCACGACACGCCCCAGCGCCGCCGGCCGCGCCGCCTCTTGCATATCCTGTATTGAGCATCTCCGTCTCGCCGTCCTGGGGCCGGTCTGTCTGTCTGCGCACGCGCACACGGGGCGGCGAGTGGCCGGCCGGCAAGCATCGCTGGATGGACTGGGCTGGGCACACGCCCGGCGCGGACGCGGGCGCGCGCCGGGCTTGGACGGCACTGGGCGGCGGCGGCAGCGGCGCGACACGCGCCACACCGCCCGCCAAAAAAGCTCGCACTATCAAAACCGGGAGGCGGCAGCCGCGTCGGCCCCGCGCGCTAGCTGCCAGCGGCGACGGCTGTGACTAGTTCGTTAAGAATATGGCCGGGCCGGGGCGGGGCGGGCGGAGCGCGCGAGTCACATCACAGAGGGCGCCCTCCCGCCCCGACTGGAATGCTCTCTCTCTCTTTGCTCACGCTTTCACGCACGACGTAACACTCACCCGCTCACGGACTAAAAGACAGCACGAGACGCTCAGTACCGCTGCTGAAACTCGTGGTGCCACCGGTTGAAGTCGATGTGGAATAAAACTATGGAGCCCGTCGCCAGGCCAGCCATCAGAAACCTGCCAGCAGAACGCAATGGTTAGACTTAGATCACTCAAAACGCCAACCAGCAACGGGCAGACAATATCAAAGGCAAAAACTGCCACACATCCAATATATTCTATGAGCACCTACTATGGACGCCTAACCGAAGGAAGCCGATAATTATTTCACCCCATCCTTGCAATAAAAACACAGGCTCAACGTCTCACGCTAGCATCTCAATATAAATGACAACCACCCGAGAGACCTCCAGCTCTATCTGACTGCGCGCGCCTGTGCACTGACTTTTGGTCGTGGCTGAGCACCAGGGAGCGAACGCTGCTGTCGCAGGCGGGGTAGGCGTACAGCGGCGAGAGACTGAATGTGCGCCACACCTCCACCACGCCGCGGTCACCGCCCGTCATCATGTACTCGCCGTCCCGGGAGAGAATCATACACTGGTGGGAGAGAGAGAGAGGGGGGTGTTAGAACGACAGACTCATACACTGGCGAGGGAGAGAGGGGGCTGTTAGAACGACAGACTCATACACTGGCGAGGGAGAGAGGGGGCTGTTAGAACGACAGACTCATACCCTGGCGAGGGAGAGAGGGGGCTGTTAGAACGACAGACTCATACACTGGTGAGGGAGAGAGGGGGCTGTTAGAACGACAGACTCATACACTGGTGAGGGAGAGAGGGGGAGGGCTGTTAGAACGACAGACTCATACCCTGGCGAGGGAGAGAGGGGATGTTAGAACGACAGGCTCATATACTGGCGAGAGAGAGAGAGGGGGCTGTTAGAACGACAGACTCATACCCTGGCGAGGGAGAGAGGGGGCTGTTAGAACGACAGACTCATACCCTGGCGAGGGAGAGAGGGGACTGTTAGAACGACAGACTCATACCCTGGCGAGGGAGAGAGGGGGCTGTTAGAACGACAGACTCATACCCTGGTGAGGGAGAGAGGGGGAGGGCTGTTAGAACGACAGACTCATACACTGGCGAGGGAGAGAGGGGGCTGTTAGAACGACAGACTCATACACTGGTGAGGGAGAGAGGGGGAGGGCTGTTAGAACGACAGACTCATACCCTGGCGAGGGAGAGAGGGGATGTTAGAACGACAGACTCATACACTGGCGAGGGAGAGAGGGGGCTGTTAGAACGACAGACTCATACCCTGGCGAGGGAGAGAGGGGGGGGGGGGGCTGTTAGAACGACAGACTCATACACTGGCGAGGGAGAGAGGGGGCTGTTAGAACGACAGACTCATACACTGGTGAGGGAGAGAGGGGGAGGGCTGTTAGAACGACAGACTCATACCCTGGCGAGGGAGAGAGGGGATGTTAGAACGACAGACTCATACCCTGGTGAGGGAGAGAGGGGGAGGGCTGTTAGAACGACAGACTCATACACTGGCGAGGGAGAGAGGGGGCTGTTAGAACGACAGACTCATACCCTGGCGAGGGAGAGAGGGGGCTGTTAGAACGACAGACTCATACCCTGGCGAGGGAGAGAGGGGACTGTTAGAACGACAGACTCATACCCTGGCGAGGGAGAGAGGGGGCTGTTAGAACGACAGACTCATACCCTGGCGAGGGAGAGAGGGGACTGTTAGAACGACAGACTCATACACTGGCGAGGGAGAGAGGGGGAGGGCTGTTAGAACGACAGACTCATACCCTGGCGAGGGAGAGAGGGGGCTGTTAGAACGACAGACTCATACCCTGGTGAGGGAGAGAGGGGGAGGGCTGTTAGAACGACAGACTCATACACTGGCGAGGGAGAGAGGGGGCTGTTAGAACGACAGACTCATACACTGGTGAGGGAGAGAGGGGGAGGGCTGTTAGAACGACAGACTCATACCCTGGCGAGGGAGAGAGGGGATGTTAGAACGACAGACTCATACCCTGGCGAGGGAGAGAGGGGACTGTTAGAACGACAGACTCATACCCTGGCGAGGGAGAGAGGGGGCTGTTAGAACGACAGACTCATACCCTGGTGAGGGAGAGAGGGGGAGGGCTGTTAGAACGACAGACTCATACACTGGCGAGGGAGAGAGGGGGCTGTTAGAACGACAGACTCATACCCTGGCGAGGGAGAGAGGGGGCTGTTAGAACGACAGACTCATACCCTGGTGAGGGAGAGAGGGGGAGGGCTGTTAGAACGACAGACTCATACACTGGCGAGGGAGAGAGGGGATGTTAGAACGACAGGCTCATATACTGGCGAGGGAGAGAGAGGGGGGCTGTTAGAAACGACAGACTCATACACTGGCGAGGGAGAGAGAGGGGGGCTGTTAGAACGACAGGCTCATATACTGGCGAGGGAGAGAGAGGGGGGCTGTTAGAACGACAGACTCATACACTGGTGAGGGAGAGAGGGGGAGGGCTGTTAGAACGACAGACTCATACACTGGCGAGGGAGAGAGGGGGCTGTTAGAACGACAGACTCATACACTGGCGAGGGAGAGAGGGGGCTGTTAGAACGACAGACTCATACACTGGCGAGGGAGAGAGGGGGAGGGCTGTTAGAACGACAGACTCATACACTGGCGAGGGAGAGAGAGGGGGCTGTTAGAACGTCAGACTCATACACTGGTGAGGGAGAGAGGGGGAGGGCTGTTAGAACGACAGACTCATACACTGGTGAGGGAGAGAGGGGGAGGGCTGTTAGAACGACAGACTCATACCCTGGCGAGGGAGAGAGGGGGCTGTTAGAACGACAGACTCATACACTGGCGAGGGAGAGAGGGAGAGGGCTGTTAGAACGACAGACTCATACACTGGCGAGGGAGAGAGAGGGGGCTGTTAGAACGTCAGACTCATACACTGGTGAGGGAGAGAGGGGGAGGGCTGTTAGAACGACAGACTCATACACTGGTGAGGGAGAGAGGGGGAGGGCTGTTAGAACGACAGACTCATACACTGGTGAGGGAGAGAGGGGGAGGGCTGTTAGAACGACAGACTCATACACTGGTGAGGGAGAGAGGGGGAGGGCTGTTAGAACGACAGACTCATACACTGGCGAGGGAGAGAGGGGGCTGTTAGAACGACAGACTCATATACTGGCGAGGGAGAGAGGGGGAGGGCTGTTAGAACGACAGACTCATACACTGGTGAGGGAGAGAGGGGGAGGGCTGTTAGAACGACAGACTCATACACTGGCGAGGGAGAGAGGGGGCTGTTAGAACGTCAGACTCATATACTGGCGAGGGAGAGAGGGGGAGGGCTGTTAGAACGACAGACTCATACACTGGTGAGGGAGAGAGGGGGAGGGCTGTTAGAACGACAGACTCATACACTGGCGAGGGAGAGAGGGGCTGTTAGAACGACAGACTCATATACTGGCGAGGGAGAGAGGGGACTGTTAATACGACGGAATCATACACCATAGAGGCGGATATGGAATGGAATATGAGCACAAACACCCCATAGCATCATACAACTGATGACGCAGGGATGGGACAATCAGCACTCATTACCGGATACGACACCGCGGCGGTTACAGCCCAACATCACCCCCGGTTCACTCTGTCCCTCCCCTCCCATACCAACCTGTATGTTGGACGTGTGCACGTCGTGTCGGAGCCGCTCTCCGTTCACCGAGTAGGTGACCACAGCCGCCTGCTGGTGCGCCGCCACGATCATGCCCTCCCGGCTGAGACAGACATGCTGCGGCGGCCCGGCGCCGTCGGGCGCGGCCAGCGCGTGCAGCAGCTCTCCGGCCGTGGTGTGGACGAGCACGGGCCCGGCGGCGGCGGCCGAGACCACCAGGCCGAGCTCTGCCGACACGACCAGCGCCACCAGCGGCCGCTCGTGGCCGGTCAGCGTGGCGCGAGGACTGGCGCAGTCCGACTCACCCAGCAGCATCTGTGGCGGCGGCGGGGAGCGGGTCAGATGGACACTCTGGGGCCAGTGGCAGGTCACACGCACAGCCCTGGGGTCAGTGAGGTGAAACGGGGTGAGACGGGCAGCCCTCAGGGTCCATCGTAAAATGGGACGATGTCAGATGCATCATGCATGCATTCATGTGATACGTTAAAAACTTAAGCAAACCAAAAGCGTATCCACATTACCGACTCGAGGCCAAACTGACAAAGTCAACTACGCATTGCAAAACAAACTCAACGCTCATTTGAAGTTGTGTGTAACCCCGCTCCTCCAACTATGTTGACCCCGTATAGTGAGTGCGTAACTATGCTGGTTCCAGATAGGTTCACAATTTTTCGCTGGCTAACACAACCTGTCATGATCGCTCCTATGAACAGATGCCATAACACTCGCCTCGGGGCACATTAACTAGAACCAGCCAAACCCCTCAGGCACATAAACTGACCTGCGACCTGGCGTTCCAGTGCCAGAGCAGGACGGAGCAGTCCTCTGCTCCGGAGGCCACGTAGCAGTCAGAGAGGATGTTACACTCGGAGCGGGCCAGACACGTCACCACGCCGAAATGGCCGAACACAATCTGCACGATCCGACCTGGAGGAGGGGGGGGGGGGGGACAGGTCACAGTGGGGGCAGAACACCAAGCACCGACATAACATCGGCTTTTGTGGTGATCGTGGGTGGCGAGTGAGTGCGTGAGTGAGTGAGCGAGTGAGTGAGTGAGCGAGTGAGTGAGCGAGTGAGTGAGCGAGTGAGTGAGCGAGTGAGTGAGCGAGTGAGTGAGCGAGCGAGCGAGTGAGTGAGTGAGTGAGTGAGTGAGTGAGTGAGTGAATGAGTGAGTGAGTGAGTGAGTGAGTGAGTGAGTGAGTGAGTGAGTGAGTGAGTGAGTGAGTGAGTGAGTGAGTGAGTGAGTGAGCGGTGATACTGACAGGAAAGAATGCGAAAAGTGTGCGTGGTGAGTGAGGGGTATGAAACGCTTATTCAGGTACGGGACCGTTACAACAAGGATGGGAAAGGGCTGTGGCAGAACAATCCACAAAGCTGCCAAAACAATAGGACGGAGAAACCTACGGTTATCAGCACTTTTACTCCCTCCACCAATCAAACTTAATCATTAAATTTAAATCCCTTCAGAAAGGAGAATGACGACCAAGATGAGCATGAATCACGATAAAACACGAATCAGATCGTCCTAAGCTAAGTAAAAACTGGATGACGGCACCCATTACGAAAACATCTTGCATCCTGTTGTGACGTTAACAGCCCGCGATTCGTACGCCTTATATTACCAGAAAACACTATCTGACATCATGGTTCTGCGGAGTTCAGGAGCCGGGGCTGAACGCGTGCACTCAAACAGTGTGTGGCCTATCAGTGGTATCTGATCGCAGCTTATCTGAAAATGTGTCAGCGAGAAGTGTCCTGCAGTAAAAACCGACTCAGATGACGAACAGATACATAATCAGATCACAGATGTGATAAACAAGCTAAGTTTCAACAGGATGCCGAATACAAGAAAGTCGAGAGGCAATGTTTCTTACAGTGAAAACATTCTGCCAAAAACTAATTATCCACCCTTAAGGGTGCGTTTCACGCGTAACGCTATGAGAAACGTTTTTCGTAAATATCTAGAGCATCGTTGCTTCGATTGCCTTCATTTTTGGATATGTTATGAAAGACGTTAACTTCGTCATCACAGAGTGGTTACCGTTGTTCTGCAATCCACATATACTGAGCAATTGAGACAAACATATTGCAAAATCAAAATTTCAAACGAATAGAACTCAACAACGGATTGTCGTGCGACTGTGATGTTTGCAGTTTTGGACAGACGAAGTCAAGGAAAACATTTCCTAGCAAGCCTTTTTTCAAATTTTGTACTATGTTTTGCATGATACAATTTTCATCTTGCAGTGCATTGCATGAAAGCTATGACAACAATTTCAAAAATGTGGCTGCTAGGAATCATAAAGACATCGATTCTCTTCACAATTCTGTAGAGTGAATCATCATTGCATGCATCACTATGCAGTTCTATTCATTTGAAAGTCATTGCACAGCTAGTTCATGAAATCGCCGAGAGATGTCTCTGGCTGTATGGCCCGCGCGTTTCGACGGTCCCCTCGGCTCGTCACTCAGCGGCGTTTGTTGACACAGTGTCACACCCATTAGTTACGGCGCTCCGCTGGCGTTCGGCCGCCGTCGAGGTGCCCTGAACCCTCCCTGCTAAGTTTCGCCGTGACCAGACGGGTCGGAGACTCATCCCACGATCTATCCATGAGCGGCGCCCAGCCAGGCGTCTCCTATCGCGTGCCTCTCACTCTTGATCGGCGCAAAACCCAAAGGCGTTCGATAGCCCTGCTGCACTGAGAAAATTAATTTCATTGACCTCAGGGTCACTGATGACGTCACAGGTCAGGTCAAAGTTAAAATGTTTCACCGTTCACGGGCCTTCTAGAAAATGCCTTATAACATTGATTAAAAGGCATTTTATCGAAAATCATCGATAAAGCGTGTTTTGTGACCAATTTTTCATTTCCAACTCAATGGTTTTGGTTAGACGACCATGAGGGACGATTTAGGTTACTTTCTGGTGGAGGTTAGGTCAAGGTCTGGTAAAAAAGGTCAAATTTCGAAGTTGATACTTTTGCATAAAAAGGGTACCTATTTCGATGTACAGGTCTCGCGAGATTAAGCGGTAGGTTTTGCACTTTTACATTTCCGGTTATATCTCAGAAACTAATCGATCTACGATGAAGCCATTTTACAGGATCATGGCCGGCTTGTGAACCAACAAGTCGATCGCATCTTCAACACTTAAAAGCTTAAGACGACGAAGATATAGCCTGAAGTACACTAAATTTTCTAGGTGCAAAACCTACCGCTAAAACCCGCGAGACCTGTACCTCATCACGGGGAATCCAATCGATCGCAAAACGTCCTCAATTTTGCGACCGATACCCCCGAACCCGATTACGACACGCTGACGAAGTTTTGTGATAAAATTCGAAAGCTCCGACCCGAACGATTTCTTAGGGGATTTAAGTCCGGATGAACTTAAATCATAATTACATTATAAGTAGGGGAAGGAGGGTGAATTGCGCCACCTTAAGGAAAAACGCTAATTGTAAGGAAACCACTGGAGATGTAAGCATGCACTGTTCACCATTTCAAAGAGGAACTCATTGGCTACGATTTAAAGGGACCCTCCCACCTTCAAAAAAGTTAATGAATTGGCATGAAAGTGATGTCGCTCGGTTCAGAAAGAGCGAAAACGAATATCTACCAAATTTCATCGAAAAATATTCACCGGTTTTCAAGATATTAGACGTTTAGTTATGCTTACTTTTTGGGATCTCCGCTGTTCCCAGCGACTTTATTTGAAAGTGCGGCATTTGTTGCGCTTAAAGCAGCATATACCACCGCGTGCTACCAAACGTTTTAGTAAAATATTTAAAAATCGTTAGATCTCCGCTGACGTCACAAATTCTAAGGGGGCATACCAATGCATTAGCCCCTTAGAATCCGAAAACTGCAAGTTTGAAATTCCGTATCTCCGAATTAAAGCATTTTTCGATGTTGTGAGTGCCCAAACCGGTATTTTCAGGCCATGGCCACCAATTTGGCTATCTCAACTCAAAACTAATGTTAAGGTGGGATGGTCACTTTAAGAGCCTCCCGATCAATTAAGAATGTTTCGTTTGCTTCTGACAGTTGCTTTTTCAAAAACATGCAAAAGGGCGCATTTACCAACAACTGATGTAAATTGCGCCAGGGGGATGGCGCAATTAGAACCCAATTGCGCCCTATCCTGTAACATGGCTAAGCAAAGGAGACGGAATGCATACACTCCGGCAGTCTATGTCATTGTGGCTTACTTGAACATGTATTATGTGAATCAAGCTCGATGCATAATAAATGTAGATATAAATTGCGATGTTTTTTTGCGCAGGTCAATAACTTTACTTGTGTCCGGTATGCTTGTGAAGTGGAACGAAAACGTTTGATGTAACCGACTAGATATATATAAATGTATGCGCCTAGACTGTTATATTTTCAATCGTTTCTCTCAAAGTTAATATTTTTTATTGTTTCGACAACTTTTTTGACATCAGTTCTAACTTTGTATCATAGCTGTCACCTCTCACACCTGAGTCCATGTTAAAAATGCCGTATTTCGTCAATTACACCGTAAGTTCATAGCCTAAATGGCAGCTACATTATAAGTTCGACGAGAGAAATAATTTTTGGACTGACGATGGCGGGTTGCTCCCCTGCCTGACATAAAACTCCTTCTTTATCGCAACAAGTTTATGATGCATTCATACTGTCGTGATACAATAGCTACACCATTATTCTATTTGCGCCACCCTGGCGCAATTGCCATGGGCGCAATTAAAATTGAGGTACTTTTTAATAAAAGCGTAGAAGTTACCATAAAGATACTGAAGGATGTTTACTGTTTCAGTGAAATATATTGAAAAAAGGATTTTTCTTTCCAAATATCACTCTCAAAATCACACATGTATCGCCTATTTTTATAGCCAACGGTTCAAAATGCTGCAAAAAAAGCTAAGAAAACGCCATAATATCTTTGATGGCGTAATGAGCCTTGCTGATTGGCTTCGTCGGAGAGCTTGGGCCATAAAAGGAACTATCCAGTGGTGAAAATAATGTTTTCGAAAACAAAATACTAAACATGCCATTGAATTCGTGGGAATGTGGGCGGGCGCAATTAGTTAGGAGGGCGCAATACACCCACTTTCCCCTAATCATGATTACATTATAAGATTCCGAGACATATAAGTTGTAGCTGCCAATGGCCTTATTACATCGTGCACTGCAACTTTCAAAGGACTCAGGCATCTACTGTAGCTCTGAAGAGGTGACAAAATTGCAAAAAGATGTTTTATAAAGCATATTCTTCTGTGCCTTCTGATGCGATATTCCGGCACTATACACATACAGTGTAGCTCATGCTGATAGCTCATGCAATAACCCGAGTTTCGAACATCTAGGATATACCTGAACTTGGTGACCTAAACTTCTGAGACCGGGGTTCCACAATGTCACACACGATGAGAAATTAATGCATGATAAGCTATGCCAAGTTTCGCGGCGCCTATACGGGCAAACAAAAACTTGCAAGTTTGACAAAAAAACGCCCCACTTCCCCAAGCGAGGATTCATGAAGCTTACACTATAAATGTGACTGAAGCTTCTTTCCTGTACCTCATTCTGTTAGCCCTTGCATTATTCCGGTCTTTCCCTACCCGTGTGTGTCGGGGCGGGTTCGGCCAATGTGATTCGACTGTGCCTGACATCTGGTCCTTTCCGCCCGGCCTGACCGGAGCGGCGGACCCGTGCCACTCCTCCCCGAACTCGCGGGGCGCGGATGGGGAGGGGCGGCCCGGCAGTCGAACCCCTCTGCGCTAACAGATGGATGGACAGGGGAAATGTGATACTTGTCCTATGACAACAAATCGGCGTTCAGCGCTAGGGCCATCTACTGGTCTAGAAACGTATCTCTATGTCGGCAAGATCCTCGCCAGGTGGTGTAAAGGTCGCGTGAAACGCACCCTTAAGGCCAGTTGCTGGCTCCACAGCCGTTACTAGCACGACACTGTGGCGCCAATAGCAAACAAGACTATCGCAATGTGTGCAGAGGTATGACACATCGACAGTGAAGGCTGCTCAAATTGAGTCGCAAACTTCGCCCCAACAAACTTCTCGCGTCGACATCTACCATTGAATAGTGCAAAAGGACGACCCTTCCCGTCCCGAAAACCCGTCCCTTCCCCATCCCTTGGTGCTCGCTCACACCTGGCTGGTGGCGGGGTAGCCCACCACCCGCCACCGCCGTCATACACCCCCGTCACTCCACACCGATAGCGTATCTCGCCATCGGCGGGTGTACCGCTCGATCGGTGCGGCCGTCGTCAGTCTGCCCGCCGCTGACCCCGCCGCGCCGCCGAGCCGCCCGCCGCCCGCCGCCGCGATGGCGTCCCAGCGCTACCCGCCGCCGCCGCCGCCCAGCCCGGTCAGTGACAGATCCTGTACGGACGTGCTCTGCCTGCTGCTGTGGCTGGCGTTCGTGCTGGGCTGGGCGGCCGTGGCCGTGGTCGTCTACAGCCAGGGAGACCCGGACCTGCTGCTGCACCCGACCAACTCGGACGGCGAGCCGTGCGGCGCCCCCGGCACACAGGTGGAAGACAAGCCCTACCTCGCCTACTTTGACATGACGGAGTGCAGCGTCGCCCGGTCAGAGACGGTTGGATGTCCGACGCCACAGGTCTGCGTGGCTCAGTGTCCCACGGCCACCTACGAGTTCGCCAATGAGGATTGCGGCCAGGTACTGGACAAACTAGTCTGCAGGTCTGATATAAAGCCGACCAAAGCAACCTGCAAGGCTATGCTGGATGATAAGCGGTGCGCTAAAATCGTGCTCAAGAGTGTACCGATGATGGACCGTTGCATCCCAAACATTCTTGAATCGGATATCAGTGCAAACAATAAGGTACTAGACCATCTCGGCCGTGAGACGTCGGTCAGCGTGGACGACCTGCGCAGCGGCGCGGACGGCGCCGGCCGCTTCACGCGACTGCAAGAGCTGGGTGCCGGCGCGTTCAGTGACCTCCAGAACTCCTGGTGGGTGATCGTGGTCGCGTGTGTCGCCTCGGCGCTGCTCTCGCTGCTCTGGACGTTCCTGATGCGATTCATCACCACGATTCTCATCTGGACTGCGTTCATCGGCCTGATAGGCGCCACAATCTACGGTTGTGTGTTCACCTACCTCCGCTACGACCAGGTCAAGGCCACCAGTGGCGACAGCACCAGCTTCAACCCGCTGGACGCCTTCACACAGGGCTTCGGCTCACTGCTCGACCAGCCAGAGGTGTGGATGGCGTTCTTCGTCATCCTGTGCGTCGTGGCCGTCCTGCTGCTGCTGCTGCTGCTGGTGCTCTACAAGCGGATCCGGGTGGCTACGGCCATGCTCAGTCAGGCGAGTCGTGCCGTCAACAGCGCGCTCAGCACACTGTTTTTCCCACTGGTGCCGTTCGCGCTGCAGCTGGGCGTGGTGGCGCTCTTCCTCAGCGTGGCGCTGTTTACCGCCTCCACCGGCAGCCCCACGTACCGGGTAACAATGCCGGGCGGCTGCACGTGCTCGCAGTACCTTCCCAACGATGTGTGCACGCCGGAAACATTCAGTGCTGCGTGCTCAGACCAGGCCTGCCTCGGCGGCTGTGCATTCGCCGGCTACGAGCCGCACCCGGCCGCCGTCTATATCCAGATTTACAACGTGTTCGCGCTATTCTGGGGGCTATTCTTCTGTTCGGCTCTCGGTGAGCTCATTCTCGCCGGCGCGTTCGCCGGTTGGTACTGGACGTTCGACAAGAAGCACGACCTGCCCAGCCTGCCGGTCCTGTCGAGCGCCGGCCGCGCCTTCCGCTACCACCTCGGGACGGTGGCATTCGGCTCCCTCATCATCGCCATCATCCGCATGGCGCGCGCCACCCTCGAGTACATCCAGCGTCAGACCAAGGGCGTCGACAACCCGCTGGCTCGCGGCGTCATCTGTTGCTGCAAGTGCTGCCTCTGGTGCTTCGAGAAGTTCATGCGCTTCATCAACCGCAACGCGTACATCGTGTGCGCCATCTACGGCACCAATTTCTGCGCCTCGGCCAAGGACGCGTTCTCGCTGCTGATGCGGAACATCCTGCGCGTCGTGGTCGTCAACAGCGTCTGTGAGGTGATGCTGCTGATGGGGAAGCTGGTGATCACCGCGCTGGTCACCATCGCCTCCTTCTACTTCATGGAGGACCGGATCCCGATCGAAGGTCTGGATCGGTTCGTGCCGACCACGCAGCACAGCTGGGTGCCCATCACCACCGTGGCCATCGCATCCTTCTTCATCTGCAGCGTCTTCTTCAGCGTGTACACCATGGCCGTGGACACCATCTTCCTCTGCTTCCTGGAGGACATCGAGCGCAACGACGGCTCGCCAGAGAAGCCCTTCTACATGTCCAAGAGTCTGATGAGCCTGCTCGGTAAGAAGAACAAGCGGACCAGCTCCAGAGATTTGACTGAGTGATTGGCGATTCCAGCCGAACGTGGTAGACAATTCCAGAGACCACTCGAGTGCCAATCAGGATGTCGTGAAGTGCGGGAACTGGGCACCACGGTCAAACGCCTGTGATGGGGCAAAGTCTATGGTGCGACTACAATCGCCGGGTATTATCTTTGTTTCTATTTATCCGCAAAAGTGGCGTGCAAAAAGACAGTGTGAAAGACTGGGTGTGCAGTGTGCAGGGTACCAGATACTGTGAATATGTGAAGGAGATAGTCTGGTTTGTGCGGTAAAGTATGGAATCGAGACATAAAGCTGTGTGGTAATATATGATGAGTAATGGTCGCATAGCTACACTCTAAGTGTTTTATGAAAGCATATTGTACTATACAATATTATAAAATGGAATTGATGAGTAATGAGATGAATATACGAGAATCCAGTTTTCTATAAACTTGTTTAAACAGCATATCACATATCGATAAGCACAATCACGTATAAAAATTGAACATCTTGATTTATTAAGTTTCACATCTACTTTGCAATGTAACTCGCCTTTTACGCCCAGACACCCCACTAAAATGCCAGCCCAGCTGCAATTCTCTAGTCCCCTTCCCTGCCCTCGCCCCGTCCTCATCTCACCCGTATCGGTCGAGAACACCCGGAAGCTGCTGTCCCAGAAGCCGCAGGCAATGATGAACTTGGAGTCGACGGTGGTGATGAAGCTGTTGTAGCGCATCTCGAGCCGCTGCGAGAAGTTGTCGCCCAGGTGGCGGCGCGCCGGCGGGCTGGCGCCCGTCTGCTGCGACACCGCCGGGTCCATGGAGAGCGGCAGGCTGATGGGCGGCGTGCCGGCGTCCGCGTACGGCGGACTGGCCGACTGGCCGCCTGGCGGGCACACAGAGGGGTCAGAGTGAGGTCCGGGGACCAGCGAGCGCCGAGCGTCAGTGGAACAGAGGGTCAGACGGGTCAGACGGGAACCAAGTACAATTATTCCATATAGGATTTTTCATAACGGTCTTAGCTCCTCCTCCGCAGTCTTAGCGAGCCCGGCGTCAGAAACTAGTCCTCACCCCTCACTTGAGTTATATCAGCCCATCAGTTCACGTACATACTCGGCATCGAAGAGCTATCGGTGACTGATAGCAAACCGATGTGGCTATTAAAAAATGTAATTTTGATAAGCTAATCGGTTATAACTAGGTCGGACGTCCAAAGACAAAGAGCACTGGCATGTCCGCCTGCCGAGTGGATTCAAAACAGGACCACTGGTAAACCATATCGGGTATCTGACACCTCGACGCAGTCATAAAACTCACATCGCGCAAGATTAAAACCCATTCGCAAACAAGGCGATACGGTGCTGAACTAAGAAGCACCCACACTTCCACAGCCCCAGCCACCGGGACAGACCAACCGAGACAGACCACCTAAGGCAGCCCACAGTTCACAACCCCAGCCAGACTGAGACAACCCACACTTGACAGCCCCAGATACTCTACCCCATACTAAGTACCCACTACTCGCCGTTGAACTTAAAATATGACTGCTGATAGCCCATTCAACGTTAAATCACTGGTATAATCCCAGCCCCGGCCGGTTCAGTTTCTCACCCTTCTCACCCTATTTCTGACCCCTCTCACCGTCCGACTCACTGTTGAAGAGCGGGTTCCAGCGGTTGATAGCGAACTGCTGGCTCTGTGTGACCGTCACCACAGAGGGCACCGTCAGCTGCGGGTACGTGTTGGCAGAGATGTGGACCACTGGCGAGTTGCTGACAAACTTCATAATCATACACACGTCCTCCGGCGGCGCGCTGAACATCATCGGAGACTGCAGGCGGAGGGGGGGGGGGGGTTATTGGCGAATCGGGGGGTTGAGGGGAGTCCGTGAAGTAATCATTGGTGTAAGTAATGTAAGAAGCCATTCAGCATGTTAGTCTAAATGTAAGTAGGTATGTCAGTCATCATCCACCAATTATACCCACTAGTTCACCCCACCGGCCACCCCACCACATGGCAAAGCTGCGGGGCGAGTGCGGCTCCAAACACAGCCACACACCCAGCAAACTACAACCTTCATCCAACCGCCCCCCCCCCCCTCTCATCCACCCTTTCCCCCGCTCACCAGGTGTATGGCCGAGCTGCGCGGCGGGTGCGGCTCCTAAAAAACCCATACACCCACCAAACTACACTATCCACACCTCCCCTCCTTCCCGCCACTCACCAGGTGCATGGCCGAGCTGCGCGGCGGGTGCGGCTCCATCAGCAGCTGCGACGGTGTCTGGCCGAAACTGCGGATCTGGTTCTTGATCGCCTGACGAAACAGAGATAAAAACACTCGGTCAGCAGCCCGGTACACCTTCTTACAGTCAAGGTGAAACAAACAAATATCGTACTCTCAGCTCACAAGCTCCAGCGTGCAATGCAAAAATTCAAAGCGCATAAAGGCCTCTTCTCTCATCACTCTAATACCCCTCTCTTTCCAGAATCACTCTCCTTTTCCTCACTCCCTCTCTCCCCTTGTCTCCCAGTCTGCCCACCTCCTTCATGACGGGATCGGTGAGCGCCTCCAGCTCTACGTTGCCCTCGTAGGTCAGGTAGTAGAACACGTTGGTGGCCCGCACCGCCTCCGGGCCTGGAAGACCCGGCGACACGGTCAGACAACGGGCGGCGACAGCGAACTGCGGCTAACTGAAATCCAATGAAGCATCCCTAGAGTGAGTTTAAATCAACCCCACCTGACACCGCTACTTGCGTAGCCATCAAACCCGAGATTAGGTTCGACAGACAGCATAGTTAACTTTGCATTCGATAGTGATAGCTGCGCTCGACAGGTTCTCACCCCGCTGTTTGTAGCCGAAGATGAGGTCGATCCACTGATGCAGCTGACACGACACGATCTCAGACTCCAGCGCCTGCGGCGGCCGACAATACAACTAGTGATTCGCAAACACACGCTGCGTGGCGCCAGGAGTAACGAACGACACAAGCACCGCTCGGCACATATCAGCTCAATTATGTACAGTAGTCGAAGTTTGTACATAACCTGCACTACTCAGCGCGGTAAATATAAAATTGACTGGAGTTTCAACGCGACACGGCGTTGGTTAAATGTCCTGGAATGCCTGCAACATGGCAAAACGAGCCCATCCCCCCACACTCGTCGCATTACATCGCACCACCTGTCTCAGTCGCCTCGGCCCACCACTCACCATGCGGTTGGTCCTGACAAAGTGTTCGGGTGAGTGCGCCCACGGCGGCAGCGCCACGTTGTCGACTGTCACCCCGTCCTCCATCTGCCCCAGCTTGTACTGCGACCGGTTGATGAACATCTCGGGCAGGTAGAAAAACTCCGGTATCAACTCCTGAGGGACGAGGAAGAAGGGAAGAACGATAAAGTCCCGGCATAGAACATTGACAAAAACAAGACTGTAACAAATGAGTTTGACGTAAACAGATATGCCGATGCCTTGACTTAAATGAGAATAAAACGCGCACACTGGTCACAAGCAGACAGATTGTCTGATCTTTTCTAGCACAGACCAAAACCCTAAGTTCTCTCAAAAACACACCCAATTCACCCCATACGTCTTCAAACACGATTCTCACCATGAAATGTGAATATGGTAACCATGTGTCCACCTCAATCTGCAATCATTCGTCGCCACTTTATCGTACGTCCCACGCCAATCGCTCCCTCAGTTCCCACCTTGACATCACTGGTGTCCCGCTGGCAGTTTTTCCACGAGAGCAGCACGGAGGAGAAGAGCCTGTTGGGGTGGTCAAACTTGCCCTCCTGCAGCGCCAGGAACATGGTGGTGAACGGCTCCAGCCGGAGCAGCCAGTTCAGCGTGAACGCCGCCGTGCTGGGGAAAGGGGTCAGGGCAGGGCAGGTCAGTCTGGGGCAGGTCGGGTCAGTTCAGCGTGAACGCCGCAGTGCTGTGGAGTGTGGGAAAGGGGTCAGGGCAGGGCAGGTCAGGTCAGTCTGGGACAGTCTGACCCAACGCGGTCAGGCAGCTTCACAAAAGCACCGATCTCCAACAATTAACACCGAAACGCTGCTATCTGCGCATATTCTTTACCTTGAAGTGGATTCTCCACTTCATCCTGAAGTGATTCGAGCTATAGGTGCCGCACCGATCTGCACTAGATGTCACACTAACCTGTGTCCCACACTGGCCTTCGTGTCACATACTGACCTGAAGTGTGCACTTCAAACTGACCTGTAGTGAGTACCGTAGTGGAACGGTGGGATCTGGTCGTGCTCCCACGAGTTGTAGCGCTCCTCGAAGAACGACTTGCGAGTCGGGTTGAGGGCGCCCACCGGCTGTGGCCGGCGATACAGAAAAGTCAGACATGGGGAGAGGGAGGGGGAGGCTGAGAGCAGTCGCGGAGCGGAGAGACAACAGGAGAAAGGCACAGGCAGAAAGGGAAAAGGGGAGAGAGATAGAGAAAAAGAGGGAAGGAAAAAAAGAAAGGAGTAAGGAAAGAAAGAAGGAAACAAAGATGCAAACGAAAGAAAGAAAGAAAGAAAGAAAGAAAGAAAGAAAGGAAAGCGAGAGAGAGAGAGAGAGAGAGAGAGAGAGAGAGAGAGAGAGAGAGAGAGAGAGAGAGAGAGAGAGAGAGAGAGAGAGAGAGAGAGAGAGAGAAACAGGGAGACAGACAGAGATTCAGACAGAGATACAGACAGACGACAAGCATACAGATTCCAACCTTAGAAGCAACTTGACCATGTCCGTTAGTCAAATAATCAGCGCCGCGCCCTCGCTCTACCCCGCTGCTGCCCCACCCTCTCTCTCCGGCTGCACCCCGGCCGGCAGAGGACCACACGCCGCTCGGTTTATTTGACCGAGCCGGTACCCGCCGAGTGATGAGTTCATTATCCGTCCCCCGTCTGGCGTATCGGACACCCTCCATCTCAATAAATTGTCACCGGGACACGACGGAACTCGCGTGGGTGGGGACAAGGGACAGGGGACAGGGGACAAGAAGGGCGGCGGCAGAAATGCATGATGAACCAAAGGAGTGGAACTGGAGGGTAGGGTAAGGATTAGGCCTCATGAGCCAGGACAGAGATCGAATCAAAACGTTTATGCAGCCCGCCTGGCTGATGCAAAACGAAAACAATGTCACCAGAAGCCGTCAGTTGGTCGCTGGTGACTGACGGACCGGTCGCTGGTGACTGACGGACTATACTAACGGTCCGCTGGTGTTGGGGGACGGGCGCGCCCGCCCGGCTCTGACCTTGGACAGGTCGCGGTAGTTGCTCGGCAGACTGAGGTCCAGCTCTGGCGACTCGTAGTTGGTGATCACCCATGGAAACACCGGGTACTGGTTCAGGTCGTTGTACGTCCGACCTGGCCGGAAAACAGACACGGAGAGAGGCGTCAGTGATGTGTTTTAACTAGCTAGAAAATGGCGATTTTAAGTCATTCACAAGTCGTAGGTTGCAAGGTCATGGATTGATATGATTTCATAGGTCGACTTGACGAACCATGGTGCTGAAGTGTTAAAACCATCAAGCCAGGTGGAACACTGGTATCACATCAATGATCTCGAAACATGGCACAACGCTCTCGCGACCAAACCTATACATAAGCGTTGAGTTTGGTGCCTTATGGTCGGCAACGTTTGGTTTGTAGGTCACCAACCGCTCCAGGTCCCCAGCAGACCTGTCACAGGGCTTCCCTATCTAAGAGGAAACCTGCCCCGCTCGCAGCGAGGGTCGCGTCACGCACCCCGGTCCCAAGCTCTTCAGTTAGGTAGGTAAGAAGAAAGCCGCGGAGGCTGGCCCATGTAGAAATGCGATCTCGCATCGTACGTTACCATCCGCAATCAGTGTTACATCTTCTGACGGATTACCATGAGGCACGTACCCTTCACAAAGTCATTAGAAAAGACATTTGCCAATACATTATAAACATACCGTACCATTTGAATGTTCATTTGTCAACGTCAGCAAAAGCTAAGGATGGTTTTCATGTGATTTATCTCGGCAGCAATTTTCAATCAGCCTGTGCCAAGACACCCCCCCATGAGGCTGAGGATCACCGTCCCGGGCACTGAAGACACGGGGCGGCGCGGGACAGACGCTAAGTTACGACGCGTCACCGCCGCTCACAGCTAAAGCTCGGTTCCCATGCGCTTTGTTTTAATGTCAGGCTATAAACGACACCGGGTGCCTTCGGTTAATCAGATCATCGTGACTGATAAGGCGTCTGGGCGACCGGCCGGCGGCCGAAAGTGATATTAAATATCGGCGATACCCCGCCGGTGCAAGATCGCTGCGCCGTAAATCACTGCCGCATTGCGCAATGTGAGGAGTTAAGTGTCGTTTTAAATGACAGCCAAGAGGCTCACCACACCGGACAATATAAGAAGTAGAAACATTGGTCGTAATGTGAAGTGGTGGTTTGGAAGCGATGACACATTCCGCCACCGCAAGGCTACCACGGAGACGGCTTCAAGATAACGCGGGTGGTGGGCAGTGATTGAAGCCAATGTTGCAATTTAGAGCTCGAGTTGCAACATTCGGTTCGCCCGTCATAAAGGCATTCTCCGTACCAATGACCTCAGCTTCCCGTTGCTCTATTCTCGGTACTAACTCCTGGTAACTGCCTTTCGTCTACCCTCTCCCACCGCAAACCCTGCCTGGCGTTCACTCTAACCGCATCCCTCCACCAGAACGCGCCGGTGTCATGTCAAATTAGGGGCCCCGCCGCGGAGACGGGCCAGCCGCGGGTCACCCCGCCTCGGGAGCGGCGTGCAGATCAGCCAGCTGCCTTCCGTCGCTGCCGGTGCCGGTAGGCGTTACACGGCGCCCCTGACGCGAATCGACCATAGGGCACGCCGCACACCGGCCGTGCACAGCCCGGTAATCGGCGCCGGCGGGCCGCGCCGACCATAACGGCCGGCCCAGCCGTGTTATCATCGCAGCGGCCGTCAGCGCGCGGAGCGCATCACTCTCCCCTGGACAAAGCGGCGCCGTGTTGGGCCGTGTTTTACCGGCCCGGACGCGGCCGTTGTCATGACGACGCTCGCCGCCAGCCAACCGCCGTGAAAAGAGCCGTCACCGGCGCCGGTGCTGGATAATTGGAGGCCGGCGCACGTGGCGGCTGTTATGCAGGCCTTTCCCTGTGTTAGCGGGCCATGCAGCGGCCGTTCGGCGGCTGCAGAGTGAATATTGTGACCGCCGCCGGTGGTCGGCGCGCTGGGAGAGACGCTCGCCCGCCTCCCGGTCGGTGAGGGTCTGAACACCGCCTCCGCGACCACCAACAGCCCTGACTACTGCCGGAAATGCGGCGCAAACGACGCCATCCTTCCGGGGCTGGCCGTTACAACAAACAATTAACGGCCACAACTCCGGGCTGTGGCCGGTATAATGAGCTAACGGCATATCAGTTCGCATATCGCTCATGTTTATAGGGCATTACTCAGCCGCCTAACGCGCCAGACAGGCTTGTTATCGTGTTCGGTACAAGCAGGTCTCACCGCCGAGTGCTGGGAACTCTAACCAAACGGCAGCCATTCACGATCTCCGGATGTGTTGTTAAGTTAAGGTCGGTATCGCTGACCATGATTCACACATCGCAGGTATGATACCATCATGTTAGTTGCTTTCATTCACTTCGTCCTTATTAACCGAAAAATGACGTCATTATCATCTAGAAACCAGTGGAAGTCCTATCCAATAAATGAATCGCTGGGACCCGTACCCTGAGATGCCGACAGTAGGCAAAAGGCATGTTGACAAGCCAAAAGGCAAAACATAACCCGACAACTCTCTACAACATAACTAACATACCCCATGTTTAACAAGTATCACTGGTCGTGTTATTCAAACAACAAACACGCTACCTGCCACGAGTTTGAGGTTTCCGATTCCTGTTCAGTGCTCACCTGCGATCGTGTTGAGGAACATGAGGTACTCGAAGTTGGAGATCTCGCGTCGCTGCCACTTTTGTACCATGTTGGAGGCCCGGAACAGCTGGCGGGGTGCCATCATGGACGCTCTCCTGGCGAGAGGTTACACGAGTTAGAGGGTGTTATAGTGACACACGGACCAGGAGCAAACATACGGACAAACATTCAAAACACTCATTCAAGAGCAAGCGCAAACCAAGTTCAAGTGACTAGTTAGGTCCAAGCAAAGGAAAGATCTTACGCTAGTACGATAGGCACAACGAATGAAGAGATGCACCCCATCATAATCGCTGTTTCGGCAAAATGACGACAGTTACATTCTAGCGCAAAATATAGCCAGTGCACATAACCACGCATTTACCAGCCATTTCCGCAAATGTGTCATAACAACGACCACCAAACTGCACGAGTAAATAATAAAACCCACTGCGTCTGTCACCAGTGGACCGCAGCCGGGTAAATAATGACGAGCTACCGAGCACCGTGCATAGAGCGGGCGAGGGGGCGTTTGCAGCGAGCGCCGAGCGGTACGGTCGAGTTGGCAGTGAGTCCGCTAAGGACGCGTCTATCATCAGCAGCCCAGCGGGCAGTCAAAGGGTGGAGGAATCGCACTTCAGTGAGCTGGGGGTGGAGACATGGACGGTGCCGTGACGCTTATAAAAGCTTTGGCATGGTTAGGTTTGATCGTCGTATTAGAGCCGGCCGGGAGAGTTGGACGGGCTGCAGCCCGTCGACCACCTCTCGACTGTCACAGCCCAGCGTCTCGCGTCCTGTATCTGTCCAGCAGTTCGGACCCGCCATCCATCAGAGCCAGACGGCGTCATATTTATCTCGGCAGAGCCAAAACAAATCGTCAGCTCGTTCGGCGCGGCGCGGCGGATCGCCCGGCGGGGGATCGTCCGGCCGAGGGCGGCGCCTGCTCCCTATCAGTGCCCGGCCCGCCCACCGGACTCACTTCCACCCAGCAGGTGTGCTGAGCGCCGGCCGCCGGCCCGGCCGACCCACCGCCGCTGGCCGCTCCCAGCCGGCATTTAGCAAAAACCAACATTAATTAATGCTCGTCTCGCGCCGTAAACTGAAATAAATGAACGCGTCCGAAGGCAAACAGTTCGTTTAAAGAATAATAAATGATACGGCGGATGTGCCAGACCCATTGTGTAGCGCAGAACTGGGACAGAGGGCTCACAGTGGGGCCTGTGTTTTCTCAGAGAGCGGTCGATCGGTCGAACTTCGACCTATAGCCCCGTGTGGCTCAGCGACCCAGATGCCTGAGTAAACAATGCGCCACCATTCCCTCGACGAGGAGCCATGGGCTCGTGACATCGCACACCAAGGTATATGTCGTCATACTATCGGTATATGTCATCATCCTATCACTGACCCTAGAATAAGCACGGCCACTTACCCTTTCCGAGCTGGCTAGCAGGGATTTCCATTCGCCACCCGTGACCTGCCGCGGTGACCGGTCAGTAAGTCCCCCACTGGCCCGGCTCTCACCTGGTCTGCGGGATGCCGTACTTGACGCCGACTCCGACCCGCGGCAGCACCTTCACCACCTTCTTCACCGTCGCCGAGTCGGGAAAGTTGAACATCACAGAGGCTGCAGCGGACACACAGGGACAACGTGGTCAGACTGGGACCTAGAACATCATGGGGGGGGGGGGTAGGAGCAATGGGAGATACGCTGAATGTAAACGCCAGGTAGTGAGTTGCAGTTAGTTATATTCATTTGTTCTTGTCATGAGAAACATGGTATTTTCGTGTCAGCAGTATTTAATGCCATCCGGCCTCCTTCGCTTCATCGTAATGTATCAACTGTTGTTTACATACCACAATTGATTTACACTCATTAGGGTAGGCATAGTTATGTGAGCGAGTAACGAATAAAACAATAAAATATAGCATCACTTCGTGACAAGCAAGAATTAACCAGCTAATCAGTGCGTCAGCCAGCCCCCATGCCAGTGCCACATCCATCTGCTCGTGGACCAATCCGTCCACACCGGTCCAAATCCGTCCACAAGGGGCCAAATCAGTCAACAGCAGGACGCGTCATTACCGGCAGCTATATTTATCACCACGGTCGAATTAACGCCGCTATATTTATCACCGATTGGCCGGTGTGGTCAGTGGTGGTCATTAGTGGGCGAGAGACTGACCGCCGCCGGAACCGGGCTGGTTCCGTGGTGTAATCACAACAGCGGTAGGAGCAGGGGGCAGTGGCAGACCAGCTGTCCGGAGTGGCAGGCCAGTACTATGGACCGGCAGACCAGCAGTCCGCAGCGTCACAGGTCTGATTCAGTCACAGTAGGACCTAAGTTGATCATGAGCGAGCCCACCGCGGCTAATACTACTCCTAGCGGAGCATGCAACAAGCCAGTAAAGCGTTTTCGTCCGATATTTACATAACCACTACCTATCCCAACTCGACCATCAACCAACGTGGAAGCTGACATATCTATCGACATCCGTCACCCATCAATACATTCCGCTTCTGACAGCTCCCTGGCCGCCTGCATCCCAAGCCCTAAATAAATATAAATAAATAAAACCATCCTAAACTGGCGTCCACATCAGTCGGCGCCGCTCGTCCGTCGGTAGTTCCAGCCGACGCGGACCGACAGTCGCCCGTGTGCCCGTCGACCCCGACGACCGTCGGCGTCGGCGGCCCCACCGACCAAGATGGCCGTCCGGCGCGACCGACGACCTTCCGACGCCGCCCACCATCGCGGCTCGACTCGGACTACTCCACCTCTCAGTACCTATCCTATCATTGTAATGACATGTGGGAGAACAGGGACTCATACCGCCGGGTCGCGGTGGGCATATGTCAGATGTCAGCGGCTAAAACATGGACCCAGGTGGCAGGAGACGGATGGCTCAAACGGCCCACTGGACATCGACAGACCGCCGGTCCGGGCTTCTTAGCGTTGCGTCTTGGACCGGGAGAGAATTATTCAACAGGAATGCAGTCAGAAGGGCTAAATCCAGCCAGGTTCGCCAGGCCATAGAGGTGAAACATGTCTGCGGCCGACTAACACGGATGATGCAAAACCTGCTGTCCATGACAAACGCTAGATTTCCAAGAACATATTATTGTGATCTGCCTGTCTCGAAAAATAAACCGGTTTGCTTATTTCACCTCTCCGACTTGTACAAAATAATGCATGAATTCGCATAACAGTGGATACTGCGACTACCCACGGAAAAACATCTAACCGTCTCTTCAGGCTCAGACCAAACTCAAAACAAACACACTTATTACCATCACACCACAAAGACCACCTCTGGAGGCAGCCCCAGGCTCATCCCTGTGGCCGACCTCCGTGCTAGGTGCATGTAGGTATTGCGGGACGGAGCTTCTCTCCGAGGAGTGCACATAAAAACCACGTGTCCATCCTCCGTCCGCGGTCATGGGCTGTTTTTGTGTCACCGAGCGGGACGGCCGGCGCGGCGGACAGACGGACGGACAGGACCGACTGCGGTGGGTCCCACCGGACTGTGTGGAGAGTTGGCGCTGGGTGGGTGTTGTGTGGTTTATCCTGGACCTCGTGCGGCGGCAGTAACGGACGCATAACAACAACATGGCCACACAGCCCCCTTGGATAATGGTGATGTTCGAAACCGGAATTAGCATTGTTAAAAGGACGCAAGGTCGTTCTTTTATGCTTCATATTCCTAATTTTAATCAGTCAGTAAATTATGAAAGCACAAGGGGGGCTGCTACCAAGCTCGCGACCTCCGCCGTCCTATTGTAAAATTCCGGGCAGACAGAGGAATTTAGATTGGAACGCTCGACATGATCTCAATGTCCGGGTGGAACGACTCCGCTCGCAGGGTTCATGTAACTGTAACGCGATCAGTCGCAGGCCGTTCCCTCGAGAGCAAATATAAATCGCGGAAACGGCATCAACCGGCTCTCATTAGGCTTCTCCTCGGCGACCCAGCACTCTCACGCTACTGAGGAAGGATTTTAATCGTGGAAAATACCCAGCCACACAGAAGAAAAACAACAGGAAGAAAACAGTTTAGCCCAGAGTCGATTCTCCGCGGACCACCCGCCGTGGCCGCCTCTCAGCAGGCAGGCATTCGGATAGCCGTCATTAATAACCCATCCAATGCCGGGCGGTCCATGGCTGCGGGCTAGGGCGGGGGCGGAGGCGGGGGCGCGGGCGGGACGGCCACTATCATCCCAAAACGTACTACACTTCTTGTCATCGCTGCCCGCCGTCGTTTATCGGAAAAGTGCCGCCGGCGGCGTTCCAGCCTTCAGCGCAAGGGAAGGGAATAAATGAATAGTCCAACAGAGTCCACGACTATGCCATGGCATGGGTCGTGTCAGTGGTAGTAGCAGCACAAGCCTACCGGCCCGGGCAGGTTTGTCCGACTGGCGACTCGTTGGCGGGGAGGTTTAATCACTCTATGGACAGTCTTATCTGACATATCAAACACTGAATAATGAATACTCTGTACCACATTATGTGCATTACATTTCATAATTCATAATGAAGGTGTGCAAATTGCAAACCGCAATGCATACTACTATTTCACCAACTGAATGGTCAACGATGTCTGATGCACAGCAACGTAATCACTTAGCAGCATGCCTGAAAGGCTGAAAAACGCCAAAGAAATGGAGAACGCTCTGGTTTCATATGAAACACGGGTTCGACAAACTCGGGTTTGAAACGAAACGTTTAGTTCAAAATGAACACATCAGTTTTGCGTGTGAGTTCTGAACGTGTCGAAACTGCAATAATCACCAGAATCCCTCAACCCTTCCATGCATTATGCATGTCGAAATAAGCCTTCGCAGTACCGTTAGCTGTCATCACTGACAGTGCAACGACGGGCAATGGAGTGTGTTGCACTCGGTCGCCATGGCAACGCCAAGTGGGCGCGGTACCGTCCTGATTTACCGGTGACAGAGCGGAGGCGCACGTCAAGTGCTGGCAGTAACGGCTGACAGAAGCGCTGTTGAACGGTGATTGACGCCCCGGGCCCACCCGCTACCGGCGGTAACGGCAGACAAACGGGGTGAGAGACACGTGCGCAAGGGAAGGAGTGCTGTCAACGGGCTGTCATTTGGGGGGACTGGATGGAAATAACCGATATGGAAATGGAAATACCGATGAAAATAGCCGATACTGAGACAGGGCTGAATACGACGACTGAGTGCGGTGGAAACTAGAGTGCCAGGGGCTGCTGTCTCATCCACCGCCGCGAGTTGTTGTTGATGTGAAATGTGACTGGCTGCGTCCCCCACTGGACTTCCTGAGCCTGATTACTCTATGCGTTCTAACCACACTGGCCGAAACAAAGGCCTACGACGGAAGAGCCTCGTATGTTACTTTCATCGCATCGTAACTTGAAACGTAATTAGGCAGTTGTTATTCCTGTTGAGCACGAGTTGTAAAGCAATCATCGAAATTTATCAACATCAAACATATGCCACACATTTAGCATATGCCACCTGGCGTCTACGTAAAAATGAGATAGATCATGAGGCGAACGAGGAACGGAGGGAAGCGCTATGGGGGCCAAGTCCAGTATCTCAAAGCCATGCATTTCCTCTCGGGTGATGTAGGACCACTGTGCGCCCTTTTGTCCCCGGCGAGAACACTCACTGCGCGAGGCGAGGAAGATCTCGATGGCCGTGTTCTGCAGCAGGTAGCGCCGAGAGAAGATGGCCCGGATCTCCGTGAAGTGCCATTTGCCGTGGATGTGGTCACAGTACCGCAGCACCTGCAACGACAAAACACACTACGTTAGACATTGAGAGGCCAGTAACCACTACAGGGACTATGAACACAAGATCACACCGTCACACGTAAAACACACGTCAACCAGCACATAAACTTCCTCGATATCGGCACGGTCTACAACCACTGCGCAGAGTGTAGGCCACCTACTTAACTTTCAGTCCATCCTTCCTTTACCATTTAGCGCTCCCACCGACTGCAGAGCCTAGGCCACCAGCCTTTCCGTAGGTATCATCCCGTCCTTTATCATTTAGCGCTCCCATTGACTGCAGAGCCTAGACCACCAGCCTTCCCGTCCTTGCTCTATCATTTAGCGCTCTCACCGAGTCCCTCCCACCGCCCATCAGCCGTCATCCATCAGTGGCTCGTCTCACCACCCACCACGCCGACCGGCCGCCGGCGGGCCGGGCCGGGCCGGGCCGGGCCGCCAGCTATGTGCGGTATTCGGGGGCGGGCGGCTCGCCGGCCCGGCCCGCCCCCGCCGACCTACCCCGCGGCGGCCGAGGACCATATAGCACCGGTCTGTATCACCAGTCCGCCCGGCCACGCCAATTTTCAAACCAGTTCCGTCCTGCCCTCCCTCTCCCCGTATCTCGCTCTCCATCCAGCCCAGCCTACCTCACCCCTCCGCTCCTCGCGCTCGCTTCTCCCTCGGTCACGGCCCACCCCTCTCCGTTCGTCCGTTCCGTCTCGTTCCGTTCCGTTCCGTTCCGTATCGTTCTATCCCGCCCCGTTCCTTTCCGTCTCGTTCCGTTCCGGTTCGCCCTCGGCCGGCGCGCGCCGCGGTAATGAGCGCTGTAAATCGCGCGCCGACCAGGCGCCGGCTGGCCCAGGAAATGGTCTCACTCGTCAGCCGGCCTCTAAACGGACAGCGCCATTAGCGGGTAGCGGCGCCGAGCGGCACACGCCACACGCTGAAAGGAGTGAGTGGTGGCGAGTACTCAGAGACAGCGGCGCAGGGAACAGACGCCCACAAGACGAGGGCCACAGGTGCCGCTAATTCACTGCACCAACAGCCTGTCAACATGAAACGGTGGCGTTCAGCTACCATAACGAATATTAAACAAACACCAATTAATTCAGACGGGCACAACCCTCCACGTGGCAGCCGAAATAAATGGTTCATAGGGTAAAACATGGAGCGCATATGGCAAACAAAAACATTAACTGTGGTACTGGACCGCAGACGAAAACAAAACTGAAAGCGTTTTGATTAGGATGAAAAGTGTATCAAAACAAAAATTCCTACCGGTTACTAAACAAACAGCAGTCCCTCTAGTCTCCTATCCGCTGGTCCGTCAGGCGCAGCGTAGGGCAGTCTGGGACCGTTGGCCGTAGTATGGGACAGTCTGGGATAGTGTGGGACAGTCGGGGGCAGCGTGGGACAGTCGGGGGCAGCGTGGGACAGTCTGGCAGCCGACAGGAACCCTCTCCCCACTAATGAGCGTCCGTCGGCGGCGGGCAGTGACCGCCTGATTAGCCGGCCAATCCGGCCGATAGGTAAACAGGGGCCCGGTGCCGGGATTACGACTCACTCAGCGCTCACGCACGGTCCGGCCGGTCACGCGACGTCCACGGGCCGGCCGGGGGCGACTGATGGGACCACCGCGCTGTGGGGTCACGGCGAGCCGCGGATCGTCCGACCGACCGACCGCACCGCGGAACGGTCCGGACCGACAGGTCAGTCATAATGGGCAGGATGGAAAGTCGCCCGCCAGCCGCCATTATTTGAGGTAATTATGGGCATAGCTATTACGATAATGAGAAAATAATTTAGAAAATAAACAGAATGCAAATGTTTTCTACTTAGTGCACAGTAACTAGATCATCTCATATTTCCTCCCAGATTGACGGCTCGGCGGCGGCGGTCGCCAAGAATAGCACTACCACGAATAAGCTATGCGGCGCAGCTCATTATCCCATACCGAACTCGAGTCCCATCCACGGCTCCCAACTAGCGCGGACCACACGGCACGCGGTGCTCCGGTCCCGGGGCGGTGGTGACTGGTCCATTAGTGGTCAGCACTAACTCAGCGGCCGTCCGCGCCGGTCCGGGCGGCTCACACACCGGGCACACGGCCGGCCCGCGCGCCACACCGGGCCCGATCGATGGCACGATGACAGCCTGATGAACGGCCACCTCTTGATGGCATCGGGACCGCCCGCCGCCGCCCGCAGACCGTCGCCCGGCGCGTGGCGCGCGGACGGCTAAGGGCGGACTCGTGCGAACCCCACGGGACTAGCTGGGGTAGAGTATAGGCCTACCATCACTCCCAGCCAAGTGGTTGTTGATGTTTGAGGTTCGACGATATTGAGTGAGGGTTCAGACATGTCGATAACTTCGGTATCGAGCAAGACGGTCAGTACGTTTTCTGATATCGGGCTTTGCCATCTGAAACACGTATCGCCAAAGTTGGCAACGAGTAGCACGGGATGATAAATTGTGAGCATACTGCATATTTCGTGGAGTATAGATTCCCATCGCCTACAATGAGACACAGTAGTCGAGTGGGACCATTACACACTGGGAGGTAAATACTAAATAGTAAATACTGGCGCGATGAGATCTGAGATACAGACAAGCCATGAAAAACGATCCCAGCAGCACCCAAGATTTGTAGGAGTTCTACTGACAATGGGATTTTCCCGGGACAACTGATGGATCATTCTTTCAAAAGCTTCGATCCTTGGATCTGCAACGTTTCAATCTAATCAGTGGCGTTCTAGCCAGGTTTCGTCTCCATCTGCGTTCAGGCAAACATGAATCCGTTTAGCATGCCTCTCGTTCTCCTCCATATCTTGTTTCTCAGTAACTCAGCTCCACCCGCGGTCACAAGTCTCCCGGGGTTCCACTGCGAACAGCCTTGTCGCCATCGGCAGACTGTCTCGGTCGGCGTGGGAACAGAATGTCCACCTCTCCAGCTGCTAATACGCGCCATCAGTCATCGCGCTGGGCAGGCAGTGACCGGCACGCCGCCCCAGCACCCGCCGCAGCAGACGGGTACTGGCGACGGGCCGACGCGATGACATGCATGCGTGCCTGATGTTCACAGACAGGAGGTATGTCAAACCGATGTGAACGGCTGTCAGGTTCACGCGTAAGATGCCTTACAAGGTGGGATAGGTATTCAGGATAAAGTTGTTTGAACGCCTGCCTAAGCGCTCTTCGGTATAATTTGTCTTTGTGTGATTTTCAGTTTAGGCATGTCTAAATCATACGCAGCAGTGAAGCGTTCGACGTAAAAACGACGGAATGTGTTAACAAGCCGCTGCGACGCATCAGCCATTCCGTTAATTCACGCGTCGTTGATCGATTGATGGAATCAGCAATTAGCATGCGAGGCACGGATCGAAACGGCACGGCCTCATCAGCAGAAGGCCGGGCGGAAATTAAAATTACCGCAGACAGCAGGACGCTCTAATAGGCAGTGAAATGTGATGTGGGTGGGATGAGCCCAGACGTCGGCATTAAAAAATAACTGCTCTAATTGACACGATAGGCGCCCTTTTGCTCCATATATCGCCTCAATTATCCCACAAGGTGTCATCAATTTACCTACCTTTTAGCGTGCAACAATAACTCACAGAACTGTCATAAGCCTCGTTCGCTACGTCAACAGCCGTCCGCCCGCTGTCATCGCCCGGAGCCGCCGCCGGAGCTGTCGGACGTTTCTCTCGCGTCTCGCCATAACCTGTCTGCGCCGCTCGCTAACCCCACCTCGGTCGACACCGACAGACGTGGCCGTCACAGGGCTCCGAGCCCACTTCGGTCAGAGTGTCTGCCGGTGCGCCTGGTCCCTGCTCGCCGAGGACCGACAGGCGCCGACACGGCAAAAACGTCGGCGTCCGCCGGTCGGCCGTCTGCCGAGAGCCCGGCCAGATCAGACCCCATTCATTACCGGCCGAGAGGCGCGGCGCCGGCGCGGCGGAGAGCAGCATCCGCACAGACCGGGGCCGACCGCACACAGGGCGGAACGGAGCCCAGGGGCTGGCAACGCGGCAAAGGCCACCGGGATTTACTACTGGCTTTGAAGTGGTCTGAAGTTAGCTTTGCATCAAAGCTTGATCCACTCGATGGGGATGTCAGTCAGCTGTGTTAAGTTTATCGGCGGCTTTGTAGTGTGCCTTTGCATGCTTTGCTCCTATTTTTGGCTCCATAGTTGTTTCAAATGTTTGAGGTTTCTGCTACCAAGTGCGAGGCCAAAATTAAAGGAAGTGCACTCGAGCCCTTGCCATCAAAAGAGAAGCCATGGGCGCTGCCATTAGCTCTTAGCTCCTGGCATGTCAAAGAAATTCTAAGCAAAATAACATTTTTAACCACGAAAAGGAATTGTCTGTGGGGTGCGGACAATGTTATTGAAAACAGCTTCCTCAATTAGGAAAGAAAACAAAACAACAAGGACAGCTCCTTCCAGAACCAATATCAATAAAGCTTCACCTGTCACCACAGAACCTCTCTTCATTTGCCAAGTAGAACAAACTAAAACAAACACAGCTCCTCTCGAATTTATCACCTGTGTATAGCAGGCCATGCGGCGGATTCCACCGAGCCCCGATACCGTTCCGGACCGCACCCGCTGCTCTCGCCGGTCCCTCTGTGCTCTGCCCGCAGGTGCGGGGCACAGGTAGAGCTGGTGAGTCACATACGGCAGAGTGGCGGGGAAGGGGGGCGGCCACTAACCCGATTAGCGGGGCTGGTTAGCGGAGATCGATGTCACTGACGGCAGACGCCCGACGCGGCGGAGCGGCAGAGCTCTGCAGCGACAACGGTCGCTGGAGCAGAGATCGCCAGCGAGCATACACCGGTAGACTGGAGCAGATACCGCCAGCGAACATACAACGGTCGACTGGAGCAGATACCGCCAGAGAGCATACACCGGTCGACTGGAGCAGATACCGCCAGAGAGCATACACCGGTCGACTGGAGCAGATAACGCCAGCGAGCATACAAGATTCCCCCATTCGCTGCCAAGTGTGGAAAACATACCCCAACCTCAAACT